AGCCTGTACAGGCTGAAGCAGTATCTCACCCCTGATTTTTAAATACGATCTCAGTGAAAACAGAGCAAAACTTAGTGTGACAGACAGGAGGCTAGAGTAGATCATGCCTGTAAAAAATAATAATGAAGCAATCACCTCCTGCTGTATTAGAAGATAATGAGCTGTAGATCCATAGGCTTATGACACTGCTGGTTGCACTTTCCCTCTGAGTTGTTCAGGGGTGGTGGGGGAAGACAGACAAAGTCCGTTGGCTCTGATCAGCCTCTTTCTCCAGTGCCTTACTTCTTTCACAGCCACTGAACTTGTGGCTTTTTTTAAACCTGTTGCCACTGCCTATGCTGGTGTAGTTACGCCAGAGTAATACACGAATAATGATTGTGGCTAATATTATGATAAACACATAAAATTTAATTAGCCCTTTGTTTAGTAGTAATCAGTGGTAACAATGTGGTATTTTTGCCACCAATATATTATACAGATTTATTTAAAAAAACAAACCACAATCAGTTTTTCAATTTTTACACTTAAAATGTCACAGACTCATACAGGTACCAGCAAAACAATACAGTCTCTTTAACATTCAGAGAACCTGGACTTGAAAGTTGTCCTAGATTTGTAATTTGTAAACAGAAGATGACCCCTCCTTTGTGTCCCACCAATGAATTCAATCCACTATGTGAGACCATAGGAGAGATCTTTCTCAGCCATGGCATCCCAATTATGGAGTGCCTTCCCTTTGGAGGCCTGATTGGCACTAATGCTTGTTTCATTTAGGCCCCAAATGAATACATGGTTGTTTATTTAACCCTTTGCCTCACTGATTTATCTCAAAATGCTAATGCACATGGTCCTGAAATGTTTTAAATCTTTTAAATCTATTTTGGTTTAATTGAGTTAATACATTAAGTCTGTTTAAATTGTTGTTATTGTTTTAACCTGCTTGCCTTAGTTTTACTTGTACACCACCCTGATATAGGGAAGAATAGTAATATTTTAATAAATAAATACTTGAAATTTGTACCTGTTCCTTTTGTACTTATTTTCTACTATAGAGGCTGGCCTATGTCTTTAATCAGGTTACAACATCAACATTCAGAAGATGGGTAAACTCATGTTATTGCACAGCAACCTCACTCTAAGACATTTTGAATCCAAGATCATACTCCTCATTACATTTTCCTTGCTGCCCAGTACATGCACACTCTGCTTCTTCCCTTTCTCTCCAATAATTTCTATGCCTTCGGATTATTCTTTTCCTTTATTGCACAAAATGGTTGCCATTTCCCCCTTTTAAACCACCATGAAGCCATGGTCACAAATGGCAAAAAATAGAGATTGTGTCAAGGGGACTTGTTTTTAAAAAATGATGAAGTACAGAGCAGAGTTTGGAAAGGTTACTCTTTTGGATTACAGCTCCCAAATTCCCCAGCCATGCTGGCAGTGGGGAGTGGAAGAACTGTAGTCCAAAAGAGTAACTTTTTCCAAGCTTTTGTGGGTGATATTTTTGATGAAAGATACAACAATAAAGTACAAAACCAATTATAAATGCTGAACCTGTACTACAGATATAAGGACAATACATCTATAAAAGTTAATAGGTTTAATAATAAACTTGTTTTTATAGGCTAAATATAAGAATCAAAAGAAATCAAAAAGAATAGTTGTTGTCATGTCTTCTGAAAACTCCCTGGATTTATTACTTGCCTAACAGAAAAGAAAGTATTTGTGACATGTGATTTATGTATCCTGCAGGACCAAATGATAAAATAGATTTGTAAAATGTTTTAAAAGTTGTCCATGTTTTCCTGACTTGAGATTAAGGGCTTCCCTTGCTTTTAATAAGATTTCTAGATTCATTTATGCATCAAATTACTGGTGTGTGTGTGCATGTGTGTGTACCTTGTGTGTGCAGAAGGCCTGTTGACATAGGGTGACATAAATTTCACAGGGTTTTCTTAGGCAAGGAATACTCACAGGTGGTTTGCTACCGCCTTCTTCAGAAATACAGCTTCTGGTATTCTTTAGAGGTTCCCCATCCAAGTATCACCTAGTTTCTAAGATGAGACAGAATGGGTTCAGGGTTGTTGTTTTTTGTGATCAACTTATCTTTTCATGTGTAAATGTCCACTTATAAAAGGTCTGCTACTAAACTGAATTATCTATGTCACATAGGCTGCCAATCTTAATTACTATGTATAAAGACCTTCTTTTGTTAAATTTTAAGAGTAGCAGTCCTGAGCAGTACATCTTGGAGATTTCATGTTTGCATGTTTGGGATGATTTTTTACATAAGAAGGCAATAGCTTAAAGCTGGCAAAGGGAACCCTTGACTCTCCTGTTTTGAAACTACTACTCCTATAAACCTTTGCCATTGGCCATGTTAATTGGAGCTTTTGGGAACTGAAGTCCAAAATATAGAGAAGACCAAACAGTCTTCATCCTTGGTTTTATTTTATTTATTTATTTATTTATTTATTTATTTATTTATTTATTGCTTGTATTTTTATGTGTTTTTCTTGTTTTGTATGTGCTATAGTACAACAAACGTACTCTACAGGACAGTGACTGGAAAATGACAACATTCTCTTGTAGGAATGTTCTTCTGACTAAGATGTTCAAAATTATTTACTGCAGGTATTTCAGATGTTTTGTTGGTTTTGTACACCCCTGAAAAAAATTCTGTGGAACTTGTATTAACTATTCTTTATGTTTCCCATATTTACATTCCTTTAGAAGACACTGAAAGTAACAGAAGATATAGAAGAGACCAGAGTGCATTTACAGCTGCCTTCCATGTCTTGTGTCCCAATAAAATTTTGTGTTTTTGCTGGTTTTGAAGAAGTACTGAAACATGATATAGTTTAACTTTTGCCACTATTACAACATAACAACCATTCTTCCTTCTGCATTTCACATTTGGCCTATTATTACCCAGATTCAGCATTTGCAATGGTGTTGCATTTATTATTATAGTGCATTTAATTGTTATTATATCATCTTATATCAATAATACTACCACCTTTTCTTTTTCACAGTTTCATTGATGCATTATTTGGGGTTTTTTCTCTTGGATGTTGGGGTTTTTTTGGGGGGGGAACCTTTTCCCTGAGATAGGTTTAGTGCTTTAAATTTCTATGCAGTAGGCAGAAATTCATCACTCTTTGTCTTTGGGACAAGATGCATCTTGCTGAATGTCTGTCTGCTTTGCAACTTAAAAGTATAGACAAAACCAAGAAAAAAAGAGAAATTGGATGTGGCAACTATACTGCCTCTAAAGAAATGCTCCTATGCTGTGATGGGAATCATTCAGCTCTCCAGATATTGCAGGACTGTAAATTCCAGCACTCACCATTTGGCTATGCTAGCCGGGGCTGCTAAGAATTTTACTTCAATGTCTGGAAAGCCACAAGATTCCCAGCCCTGCTGCTATATGTCTCTGTTTACCAGAGTTCTTGGTTTGTGCTCCTTTGGGATTTGCAGTTTGGCAAATGGGCAGACAAAGACAATGTAATGAGAGCAACGACTGAGTCCAGCAATTCCCCTTCATTGTCTTTCTTATTTCATCAGAACAAATCATTTCCATTAGAGAGTTCACACAAGAATGTCCTTTAAATGTTACCTTTTATAGAATTTCTTTTTTTAAAAAAAAAACTGCATTTTTTTCCAGGTATGAATTCAAAAACAGTCAGTTACAGAAATAAACTGTGTTGTCTGGTATAACTATGCGTGACAGCGACATCCATCTTTAACAACAGGAGTAACTGAACGCTAGGCATACACCTTTATGCCTACACTTGTGCTTTGAAACAGTGGAGGAAATACTAGAAAAGTATAAAACATGTTCCATTATGCAGAATTACAATCTCATGTGCCCCAAACTTGAAAATGTCAGACTTCAGAACTGAAGGTCAGAGCAAAACAAAGAGAAGGCCCTGTAAACACACACAAATGTCAGCGACATTATCTTACTCCACAGTTCTATGTTGACACTA